CCTCTCTAAGTCTCTGACCAACTAGTCTCCAACTCCACACCCCTACAAGCTCACAGTTGAGAAATCATTAAACACACTGCCCTGCCTGACCTATCCAGAGGGTTTCAGAGGCCAGGCCTCTAAGGTTTGAGCTGAGTAACGAACTCCCCACTCGAGTGACACTGAGAGCCATCGTTCTCTTTTCTTTTTCTTCTCAGCTGGAGAATTTAATTTGACTGTTTTATCAAAACTGCTGCTCCTGATAGATTAATGGCCCACTATATCTTTCAGATTAAGCTAATTGAGTGCAGAATGAATTTGCTAGATTTGAATGACATGCTCTAAGTTCAGCTCATCATTCTTTAAGAAAATATAAAATGAGAACCTCCAATCAGAGAGCCTGAATTATCACATATTTCCAGTTTCTCAGAGGTGTTTCCATTTTCAGCTGCCACACAGCACCCTGAGCTAAAATCAGGCAGCTCTCAGAGGACACGATTTCCAGTCTCCACCGCAACTGAAAGAGTAACCGAGGAGCCCTGCAGAAGTGCTCCAGCCTTAGGTCCTCCCTCTTCATACGGCAGGAGTAACCCCATAGAACTTGCGTGAAGTCACTCTGTTAAGTGGTCAAGCTATCCAGCCAATGCTCCCTGCACTGACATCAGCAGCTTCGCTTTGTGCATCTTACCATTCTTTCTAACTTAAGTGTTGCCTTTTCTCCTCCTTCCACTTGCCTCTTCCTCCATTCTGAATGTCGATAATGGCTTCCTCTTTAGCTTAGCTTTCCAGCCTCATTTTTTCATCATGGTCCATTATGAACCCCAGGATGTGGCTACATTGTGACTTGTGAATGTATTGTCAGCTTCGGTCATAACTACAGATATGTCTTAGAAACCAAGCGTCTCGGGGCTGAATTTATGATAGGAAGGAAGGAAGGAAGGAAGGAAGGAAGGAAGGAAGGAAGGAAGAGAAAGAAAGAGAGACAGAGAAAGGATAACTATAAAGGGTGTCAAGAGCAAAGGTGAATTAAGAACCTCTGAAGATCGGGCTGAAGACCTGGCTCAGAGGTTAACAACATGTACTGTTACTGCAGAGGACTGGAATTTGGTTCCCAGCACATGTCAGGTGACTCACAACCACCTGATGAAGGGACTCCAACAAGTTGTACAGGCACACGCGCACGCACGCATGCAAGCATGCACACACACACACACACACACACACACACACACACACACACACACACAGACAATGCTGAAAAAGAAATATTTTGAAAAGAACTTCTGAACATCCTCTCTTCTGCAGGCAATGGTAACACTGGCAAATGGTTAGAATGGACTTTCTCACAGTATTAAAAGGTAATCAAAAGCTTGAAAAAAATCCAGGAAGCATTTATTCAAAAAACAAGGGTTCAACCCAAGTGAAGATATTAAATTTCCACAAAGAACTCCCAGAACTAGATGGCCTCACTGGTAAATTCTGCCAAACACTTAAGCAGGAATTCCAATTCTTCACAAGCACTTTCTAAAAGACGGAAGAAAAGTAAACATTCTCCAACTCATTCACTGACACTCCGATTATCTTAAAACCCAAACTAGACTGTCAACAACTCTTACAAGTGCAGACTAAGATCCATCATGAATATTGATACAAAAATCCTCAACAAAATTTTTGCACACCAGGGCTGTGGAGTTGGCCAAGTTGGTAAAATGTCTGCTGTACAAGTGTGAGGACGTGAGTCTGGATTCCGGGTATCTATGCAAAAGCTAGGCATAGTGGCATGCACCTACAACCCCAGGTAGGGGGTATAGACAAGCAGTTTCTTAGAGTTCGCTGATTAGTCAGACCAGCCAATCAGTGAGCTCCAGGTTTGTGAAGACCCTGTCTCAAGAGAAGAGGAATAGAGGAAGATGCCTACTATCAGACACCAATATTCAACTTCTACGTGTACACATGCACGTGTGGGCGCACGCACACACACATATGCATATGCACGTACATATGTATGTACAAACACCTGTATATGCAGGAACACACTAGCCCACTTGAGCATGTGGCTCTGGCAGGCCTTGCCCTGCTCCCCATTCCCTCTGCCTTAATAAAAACTATTAGATTAAAGTCCTAAAGCTAGCCCCCAAGGTCTATTCCCTTATTGGGCCACTTCCTCCTCCTGAGGCTGACTACCCCAAAATCCAGCTATTGAAGTATTGAAGTCCAGCAATCAGAAGCTCCTTTGGCTCCCCTAATTAACATGCCCAATTAAAATTAAACACTTCATCCTAACACAGGGTTTCAACTTGTACTTTATAAACTGCCATTTGCCCATGTGTGCCATGTCTTTATAGACGGCCATTTTCCTGTCTCCTCTTACCTTGCATGTAAAAAATTATCAGGAATCTATAATTAATCTATATGATCCAATAAGTGTAATGAGAGGTCAGCATATAAGATCAATATACAAAAGCCCAATGCATAATCTAGATACATTCCATTTACACTTCAGGAATAAATTTATCAAAACAAGGGCATAACTATGAAATATTATTAAAGGAGATTAAATAAGATTTAAATGAAATTCTGTCTTGTTTTCAAGGATTAGAAAGCTATTTTTTTTTAATCTTGAAGATTTAACCCACAGCCTCACACTTGCTAGGCAAGTATTTTACCATTGAGCTACATCCCTACCACTTAGAGTTTTTATATGATTTATTTTCATTATTTTAATTATGTGTGTGTATGTGCCTGTGTGTGCATATTACCACCTGACACAGATGCTAGAAATCAAACTGAAGTCCTATGGAAGAACAGTAAATGTTCTTATTCACTGAACCATCTTTTCGCCCGCTCTTTATTTATTCATTTATTATTTATTTATTTATTTATTTAGAAACAGGGGTTCAGTACGCAAGCTGAGCATGTCTTTGAACTTGCTATGAGGGCAGGCTGGCCTTGAACTTCCACTAGTACTTCAGGCACTATCCCATTAGGCCTGACACTAAGTATTGTGAAGAGGACAATAGTCCCCAAATTGATATACAAAAGCAATACCACCTCTATTAAATCCCAGCTGCCATCATTTCAGAACTAGACCCGCTGATCCTAAAGTATGTATGGAAATAAAAGAGTCCCAGAGTAACCAAAATAATCCCAAGAAGAACAGCTAGGGAAGAAAGCTGACGGCCAGGCTCCCATCACCAAGATGGCTGCTGGCATGAGAACAGAAGACAGGCCAGCAGAACAGAGCTGAGACCCCAGAGGGTGGGGCAGACATGGTTTCAGTAAATATTTCTACAAGAGTGCCAAGAGATTTAAAGAAAAAAAATAGCCCTTCCAACCAATGCTACTTTGACAACTGAGTCAATCAGGAATGTCCTTTCACACAAAGATTAACTCAAAACACAGCAGAGGCTTAAACATAAAAGCCCAAACTATAAATCTCTTAGAAGAGAAATGGGTGAGTCACTTGTACCTGGGAGTAAACAACTGGTTTCTTTGATGTTACAAAAATCACACGTGACAAAAGAAAATAAGAAAATGGGACTTCTTCAGAATCCAAAACATTTATGTTTCAAAGGACACCACCAGGAAAGTGGAAGGGGGGCTGGAGAGATGTACCAGGCGTTAAAAGCAATGGGTGTTATTTCAGAGGACCCACAATTAGTTCCCAGCACCCTCATCAAGTGCTGAGGTGGCAGTGGGGGCTGTGCTGAAAGCGAAGCCCTCAGACAACTCTGGTAGGAACATGAACGATACAATCACCTTGGAAAACAGTGTGGCAGCTCGGCAAAACGTCAAACTTGATCTCCATATGACCCAGAAATTTTACTCCTAGGTGTAATTCCAGAGAATTAAAAGTACATCTTCAAAAATGTGCGTATGTAAATACTCATTGCAGCAGTAGTCATAATAGCTCCAACAGAGAAACAACCCAATATTTATTGTCCTCTAAATGGAGAAATAAAACTGATATATACATGCACTAGATTATTATACAGCCATGAAAATAGGTGAGGTTATGACAGATGTTATCACATGGAGGGAGCTTCACACTTGCTAAGTTAAATAAGTTAGACACAAAAGGCCACATAATATGTTTTTCTTTTTCAAATTTTATTTTAGGTGTCTAGGCATTTACAGGCTTAGTGCCCTGAGGTGCTAGAAAAGGGAATCAGATCCCTGAACCTAGAGTTACAGAAGGTTGTAGGCCATCATGAAGGTGCTGGGAACTAAACTCAGGTCCTCTACAAGAGCAGCCAGTGCTCTTAACTACTGAGCCATGGCTCCAGCCTCTATATCTTTCTATTTCTATGGAATGTCTATAATAGGTAAATCCAGAAAGACTAATTAGATTAGTGGTTTGGAGGCAAGAGCGAGGGAACCACTGCCTATAGTGACATTTCTTTCTGAGGTGATAAAATTTTCTATGATTAAATGGTGGGAGGGTTACACAGTTTTGTGAGTATACAAAAAAAAAAAAAAAAAGCTTAATTCTACACTCTAAAATGAAGAATATTGTGATATGTAAATTACATGTCAATTTTTCCAAAAGGTCAATTTAATGAACCTGGCATATATTCACATAGGCAAGGCATACAGAGAGGCAGGGGGCTGTCCAGCAGAGGGCTCGCACCTCTCTGTTCCTACTGTGGTCTCTAGTTGCAGAATCTGTAATGCAGATTGCAAACACCCACCCACCCCACGCCACCCCGTTCATTCTCTCCCCGACCTAACAGATTCACACACTCGACTGTAGAAGGGCCCTGCCCACCTGCACTGGTCAAGCATGTTTACTAGTTTGTTTTGACTGGTGCTTTGACATTTGAGCCCTTGTTGATCCCAGAGGGCTGTCCCTCCCTCCCAAGGCCAGCCAGCTACTAGAGGTAGTAAAGGGCCTGCCTTTCATAAGCCAACCATCCAATCAGGGAAGGAGGCTGAAATGATAGCAGAGCACATACACAGTGGGCGGAGCTGGGTGGGGAAAGTGGGGCAGGCCTCCAGGCCCAAGACACAGCTCAACTCACAGTGTTCCTCCCACTCGCGCTCCTCCCTCTCGCTGGCTTGGCAGTGCATCTGGGCCTGCTTCAGGGTCCAATAGAGTTCCTTGGCCCTCTGCTCCTCCTGGAGGCGAATCTGTTCTTCTCCTCGCCTCCTCTCTTCTTCCTCTTTCCTCTGAAAAATTATTGAGACGGAATGGCATTAGAATGGGGAACTAACTGCCTGTGGGATTCTGCAGCTAGTCAAGCTGAGCTGTCTGGAGTAGAGTGGCCAGCAGTTACTATTCCACTCTTGGTCCTTACACAACTGAAATGTGATAGTCACACTTGGCAAGGACCAGATGGATTGGTATACTGATGCAAATTGTATTTGCTGTTTTGCAGTGCATGGGATTGAACCTAGAGCCTCATGCGTGCTAAACAAGTTCCCACCACTGTGACAGCCCAGCCCAGCAATGTGTAAACGCTAAAGCTTTCTGCAAAGATAAGAAGACTGAGCCATCCTCAGGCTTGCTTCCACTGGAAGTCAAGAAGGAGTCCAAGTTCAGAGAGCAGTGTCTGATCTTTCTAGAGGCTGTCCTGGACATAGAAGGATGCCTTGACCAGTCTGGATATAGTATTGATAAGACCATAGGTCTACTGGTCCTAAATCTCTTGTTTTTTGCAAGTCCCACTTATAAGTTAAGAAAAGGGTGTGTGTGTGTGTGTGTGTGTGTGTGTGTGTGTGTGTTTTCCTACCCTTGTTTACATGAAAAGAGCATTTATCCACTCAGAACTTATATAGATGGCTAATGAAAAATAGTTCACCAAATCTCTTCCCCCACCCCAATGCACCATTCAGCCTTACATTTCACACAGGTGCTAGAAACAGAACTCAGGTCCCCATGCTTGTGTGGCAAGCACTTTACTGTCCGAGTCAGCCTATATATCTGTCCCCTAACATTGTTCATTCTTGATTTACCAATTCTAGAGATTAAATTCTTCCTCTGATTTTTGTTGCATGAGTCTTAAACAGCAGTGAATGGCCATATTGCAAGCCAAATGTGTTGCTCGTTTCATCAATTATAAAGAGTATGTTTTTAAACCTTTTAACATACTTGCTTCTTGCATGTACTGTATAACTCACAACTTTCCTTTCTACTAAGAACAGGCTTTTTTCCTTCTCACAATGATATGTTTCTATGATTAATGGCATCTTAAATTATGTAAAACGTGGCAGGGAACGGGCTTTTCTTTCATGTATCTTTGCCATAGTTGTTTTTTCCTGGCTTAATAATGACTTCATCTTAAAGCAGAATATGGAATTTCCCCAAATTCCTATCAAGTATAGTAAGCTTTGTCTGAATTAAACCACATATGAGTTCTTACAAACATGGTATCGCTCTCTTTTTCAGAGGGATTTCAGAGGGACACCCTTCCCCTGGGAGCCATTTTCCATTCTCCTGTGGGCTGTGCTGGGAACTTCCTACATACCTCTCCACCCACACTTCAGGGCCCACCTCTGAACCTTCTCTGAGATGCAGCCCTGTATCACTGCCTTCCTTCTGCAGCCACTTACCACAGAATACACAGAGCCACTTTCTGAGTGTTTGCCTGAAAGCATTGCTATGCCAGCCTCACAGTCAACTACGGATTTAGTGGAGCACAGAACCTGATTAATTAAAAACATTGCTACCTTGTCTTCCAGCTTTACTGTCATCTTTTCAGCTGCTGCATAGGGTACTTGTTTTCTCCCTGGAAATATTCTAAGGCATTTTCTTTTCCTTTTTTTATTTTAAATTGAAAATAGATTCTTCTCTCACATAGTATATCCCAACCGCAGTCACCCCTCCCTCCACTCCCCCTCCATTTCCCTTCAGAAAGGGCCAGAACGCGGCCCACTGAATCAACTAAGCAGGGCTCATATGGGCTCATAGAGACTGCAGTGGCAAGTGTGGGGCCAGCATGGGTCTGTCTGCCCCAGTTCCTCTGTGTATATGATATATATGGCTGTTAGCGTGGTGGTTTTGTAGCACTCATAACAGTAGGAGCAGGTGTGTCTCTGACTCTTTTGCATGATCTTAAGACTCTTTTCCTCTTATTGAGTCACCTTGTCCAGCCTCTATATGAGGGCTTTTACCTTTTCTTTTTCTTTTTCTTTTTCTTTTAAGACAGGGTTTCTCTGTGTAACAGTCCTTCTGGCTGTTCTGAAACTTGCTTTTGTAGACCAGGCTGGCCTTGATGATGCCTTGTCTTATTGCATCTTGTTTTGTCATATTTGGTTGTTGATTCTAAAGCATTTTCAGTGGTGTGCCTTACTGAGGGTTTTCTTCAGAGCTTTGTGTCTGTCCAGTACAATACTTCTTCTTTGCCTGAATGAGGCTCCTGTTTGCCAAGCTCTGGTCAGCTTGAGTCAATCTCCCATAGTCTCCATCTTTTCTCTCTTGTTTTCTACGTCTTGTCTTTTCTTGTTCTACTTCCTGGTTGAAGTCACTGACTTTATCTTCCAACTGTTTCAGTAGTCGTGAGCTGTTTTCTTTCTGTTGTGGCATGTGTGATTTTTAAGCCCTCATTCTTATTTGCTAACTGTCTCTTTCATGTGGTTGCATCCTGTATTTGTTTCAGAAGTGTGACAGCCTAGCTCTCTGAAGATTGAGACCTCTGTCTTTCCCTCTGCTCTGGTTGAGATCTACTTCCTTTTTGTTTTGTTGCATTTATTTGACTTGGTGCCTGTCATTCCTGGAAAAAAGAAGGCTTTCTTCAGATATGCCCTCCCTGTCTGTTCACAGTGAAGAGGTAAGTCAGACTTGAAGGGGAAGCTAAGTATACAGCCAGTCTCCCTGAGAGAAGAGCTTCACTCTGGCAATTTCAGGAGGAACCAGCCATTTCTTTGATGAACCATCAAGTGGAAGGTTTTGGAGCTACTTTCTGTGAGATTATCCAGTCTTCTATTCTTTCTGTGTGGTATCTGAACAGGAGTCAACTGTGAGCATGCTGCAGGCAGAATTATGCTTAAATTCCCCAACCTGGGCCTCATGCTTTATGCAAAGTCATGATTTGAAATGTCTATTTGTCAATTTCTTCCTCCAGCTCTCTCCCCAACAGGACTGAGAGGGGTAGCTGTGTTTTCCAAGGCCAGACAAGGTCCTACATGAGCTCTGGTCCCTGTTTATTCATTTCACATGTTCTCTGTCCCTCTCCCCAGTATATGAATGTGGACACCAGACTGTGTCTTAAACTATGTAGAATAACAGCTTTCAGGCTGTGCTAGCCTTGAAATATTGCACTTTGTAAAGCAGTTGTTGGTTGTTTTATAATCTTTGCTCTTTGTTCTTTTTAACTCTTTAGGTGGGCCCGCCACCGAGCTCTCAAGTAAATCACAGGGAGGCTTATTCTTACTTACGAATGCCCAGCCCTCACTTGGCTTGTTTCTAGCCAGCTTTTCTCACAGAGCTAAACAAATGAACATAAAAGAATGTAACCCATCTTTGCATCATTAAACAAATGTTCCACAGCATAAATGAATGTAACACATCTTAATATTCCACAACACAAGAGTTTCTCATTACATCTTTAAAGTTTACTTTGTGTGCATGCTTGTATGTGGGGGGGGGGCACATGCATGACATGGCACTTAGGTAGAGATCAGAGAACAGTTTCTGGGACTTGGTTCTCTCCTTCTACAAGGTGGATTCCAGGGATGGGACTCAGGCCATCACACTTAATAGACAAAACATTTACTTGCTAAGCCCTATGACCATTCCCAAAGGAACAGTTTCGACCTGAGTTACTATACTCTAATACTCCAAGCTTAAGGGGTAAGATAACATGACTGTTCTAGTTAGGGTTACTATTGCTGTGAAGAGACACCATAAACACAGCAACTCTTATAAAGAAAACATTTAATTGGGGTGGCTCACTTACAGTTTCAGAGGTTCAGTCCATTATCATCATGAAGGGGAGCATGGCCACATGCAGGCAGACATGGTGCTGGAGCTAAGAGAGCTCCATCTTGCAGGTAACAAGAAGTCAACTGACTGTCACACTGAGGGAAGTATATCAGGCTTTTTCTTTGGGGCCACCAACTGGCTCTCAAATCATGACATGAAGACTTATTACTAGTTATAAATGTGTGACCTTATCTTAGCTCTTATTATAATCTGTTTCTCTTTATCTACATTTTGCCTCAGGGCTTTTTACCTTTCTTTCTTTCTGTATATCTTATGTCCTGCTTCTCATGTCTGGCTGGCTGGCTACTGGCTGCCTGGTTTCTGGCCCCAGGCATGTTCCACTCTTTCTTCCTCATTTTCTTCTCCTTTTCCTCTTTCAAGCCTAGATTTCTCCTCCTACTTATTCTCTTCACCCATGAGTCCCACCTATCCCTTTCCTGCCTAGCTAATTGGCCATTCAGCTTTTTATTAGTCCAGTCAGGTGCCTCAGGCAGGCAAGGTGAATACAACACATCTTTACATAATTAAACAAATATAGCACAAACAAATGTAACACACTCTTATGTCATTAAAAAAAATGCAGCATAAACAAATGTAATACATTTTTGCCTAGTTAAAATAATATTCCATAACAGGGAAACTTGAAAAAAGAGACCTCAAAGCCCACCCCCACAGTGACACACTTCCTCCAACAAGGCCACACCTCCTAATAGTGCCATTCCCTTGGGGGCCATTTTCTTTCAAACCACCACAATGTCATTATAACTTGTTCATTCAAATAAACAACCACCATCATGAGGCACAAACTGATAAATAATGTATTTGTACCAATAAATTATCATGAATGTGAATATATGGAATCATATCAGAAACAGTGTACATGAGTTTATCAGTCATACCAGATGTAAGCCTCTCATCTGAGACTATAAGAAGGAGCACACAAGACTGAGATACAGAAGGCATACTGACCTACCACTTAGTCACTTGTCACAAGTTTCATCCTGAAAAATGGCTACAGCAAAGGACTTCTGCCTTTGTCCCCCAGGCTCCAGCTCAAGCCGTTTCTCTTGCCTAGGACAATAGTAAAATAACATTCAAAACTGCCAGCTACCTGGATCTGACCACTCTGTGCTTTGAACAGCTCTACAGCTGTGGTTTGTAGAACTACTCATCTGGTTCTCTGCTGAAACTTTCCGTTACATCTAGATAGCCTCTTTGCCTCCGCTGAACCCCACATGCCTCTTTG